TAATATAATATATAATATAAATTATATAAATATAAATATAAATATAAATTTATATTATATAAAATTATATTATATAATTATAATATAATTATTTAAAATTATATTATAATTATAATAAAATTATATTATATAATTATAATATAATTATATAATATAATTATTTAAATTATATAATATAATTATATAAATTATATTATATAATATAAATTATATATAAACATAAATTATAAATTGCATACAATATTTGCAATGTCGATTATACAATGATAAAATATATCAAGTCTCTGTTGCATGAAACATCTTTGATTATATTCAATTGTATACAATATGGTGTAATAAATGTATATTAAATACATACAATTGTATTATATGCAATATAATTAAATATGATAAAAGGTATTTTGTAGAATAGAGACTTCATACATTAACACAGTGTATTATATATTATGTGTTATTATATTATAATACAAATTTAAATTAGATATAATAAATATAAAAAATTAAAAAACAGAGACTCTGTTGACGTATCAATATATTCTTTATTATATCACAGTATTACAATTATATTACAATTGTTTATTACATACAATAACAGAAAATACATTTAACTTTAAATTAAAATTTATATACAATGCATACAATATAATTAAATACAATAAATGTAAGACATACAATTGAGGCTCTGTTGATATATTAATATGTTGTTTATTATATCAAGTATTACAACTATATTACAATTGTTTGTTACATACAATAACAGAAAATACATTTAATTGGCTCTGTTGATATTTTAATATATTGTTTATTGTATCACAGTATTACAATTATATTACAATTTTATTACAATAAAACAAAATTCATTTAATTTTAAATCAAAATTAAATACAATACATACAGTATAACGAAGTACAATAAATATGAGACATTTAGACAATTGAGACTCTGTTGATATATTAATATATTATTATATCACAATACATGCATACTTTATACAGTAAAGACTCTGTTAATATATTAATACATTGCATTACATGTTGTATTATAAAACATATATGCAGGATAGTTGACAGCAAGTACCGAATATCAAAAATGAAAAACGTCCAAGAGTTTTTGAGCAGGGAGCGTACGTGTACACACATGTAGCTAGCCCGGTCGTTTATCTATTTACACTACGCGGCAAATGACGTGGAACTGGTTATGCGACTTTTCCATTGAACGGAGAGGAGGCTGCTTGGATTCCGTGCGGTTAATGCAAATCCGTTGTCGAGATACTCGGATCGGTCCACGAGACAACAGACCTCCGGCCCGAGAGAGAGAGAGAGCCGTGTGCCCAGAAAGAACATTGTGTTCAGTACCATCGAGAAAATTGAGCCGGAGAGAAGTTGGCTCGTGCGCTTTGGCTTCTCCATGCGAGAGAGATCCATGGGGGACGTTTTAGGCACAGGGCTGTCGGATACCAGCAGCACCGGTTCCGCCCGAGACACGCCCCCGCCACCGAGACCACCGGCCAGGAGACCTCCTGGTGCGGACATCACCGACATCGCGGAGTACACGCCTCACGCGTACTGCAACATCCAGCCGCCGGACGTGACGCACACCAGCAACACACCGGCCGCGCAGCAGTCGACCAGGCGACCGGGCGCCGATCGTGTCAATCGTTACCACGTCGTCGAGGATCAGAACAACACGGGGACCACTGGCCGCTGGAAGGTGTCCGCCAAGATACAACAGTTGCTCAACACGTTGAAACGGCCGAAACGTCGGCCGTTGCCGGAGTTCTACGAGGACGATGACATCGAGCTCGAGATCGCTGCCAATCCCAAAGACCCGAACGCCCCGAAACCGGAGGGCGGTTCTATGACCTCCGCGGTCGGTGAACCGCTATCGGTCGCCGCGGGCTTGCCCAGGTCGCTCGAGGCCGCCATACAGAGGTGAGCAACCGGGCGCCGAGTTTCCAATGTCGTTCGTTTCATTCGATGATTCATCGAATTCTTTTCCCTCTTCTCATTCCCCTTCTTCCTGTTCTTGTTTTTTTTTTTT